GCCACCCTATGCCTTCAAATAGCCTATCCAAAGGTACTATAAAAGCCTCAAGTCTAACTAATTTAGCATATAAAGAAAATCCATGCACTTAGACAAACAAACATACAGGACTCACAGGCATTAAAGCTTGACTTATCTGAGTATTGGCCGATTCTCATTAGAATCTCCTATTCCCTAATATAACAGTCACACATTCCACTGCCACCTTTTCTAATCATCATCACTTATAAACACTGAAGGCTCCTATCTCCATTTTACCTGCACAATTTCTTTTAGACGAGAGAATGTCTGCTTAAAAGATGCAGCTTGTTCCCAATTCATTCACAAGGCATGGTCTCAACCAATTTTAGGATCACCTGTCATAAATTTTGCTAAAAACTAAAAATTGTTAGAGTTTGTCTTAAATAATAGAATAACATTACTATGGAAATATATAAATCCCTAAATGACCTTTATATAAAATTCGATCATCTTCAACAACTACCTTCTTCTTTGGATTGACCAAAAGAGTTTTCAATCCTCAAGCAACTTGATGGCCTTCTCACTCAGCAAGAAATCTACTAGAGACAATGATCAAAAGATCAATTGGTACACTCAAGTAATAGGAATATCACCTACTTTCATATATAGGTCACCAACTGTAAAAGGGAGAACTTTCTATCATGTACTTACACTGACTCAAGGAAATGGCTCACAGACCTTAAGGAGATAGAAGATAAGAGAATATCGCCAGAATTCTAGCTAACTGCTCATTGTCCCTTTTAGGTCAAATTATCTCCTCCACCCAACATGCTTTTATTCAAAATTGAAAAATACATAATAACTCTTTGTTGAAATAGGAAATCAAACATTTACTCAAAAAAAAGCGAGGGAAACAAAGCTGGTTTACCCTCAAGTGTGACATGAATAGAGCTTGTAATAAACTTGAATGGAGTTTCTTAACTTAAGTACTTCACAGCCTAGGTTTTTCTCAAAAAATCATTCAAGTACTTACGCAGTGCTACATGATTATTTCCTATCATATCCTTATTAATGGTACCCTATGAAGGGAACCCTCCCTCAATACAAGCTTAACAAGGAGACCTTTTATCTCTTTATTTATTTATCCTCTACACGAATGTCCTATCTAGGATGTTTAATTTTGTGGACAATCTCTATCATATATCAGGTATGCAAATAAAATCATCTACTCTCTCTATTATCCATCAACTTTATACATATGAACTTTTGCTCTTTGGTCAGCCACCAACAAATAATCTTCAAAACTATCTCCACATTCTTGAATCTATTGTACTTGGTTCGAACAATCTCTAGATTATGATAAATCTCATATCATCATAAGCCCTAATCTCCCTATTACACTTCAACACCAGTTAAAATCAACTTTCAAGTTGTCACCTATGCCTAAACATTGCAAGCACTTGAGACTGCCCCTTTCAATTACTGAGCGCTCTACTAAACCAATTTAAGTACATCTAGACACAATGAGAATAAAACTACAAGCTTGAAAAAAATCAACACTCTCCTTTACAGGTCAGGCGATGCTAGTGGCTCTTACGACCTATTCCATGTCTATTTATGTCTCATCCAACAAATCATTAAATAAGCCACTCAAATCATTAGGAAATTCTAGTGGGGTATCAAGGATTAAAGACAACATTGTGATAGGTGCCTAGAACAATCACAAGAAGGATTGCACGTAAGTTTTTATTTTTGGGATAAAAAACCCACACCTTTTATCTTATTTTTTGCTTACCTCCTCATCTATAATCTGATGAGATTTAAATAGAAATGAAACAACAACTTCTCCTTGCTATCCAGGGAGCACGACGCCAGTAACAACCAAAAAAATCTCACACAAAAGGATAAGATCAATGTTGAAATTAAATAATCAAAAAAATGGGGAAGTTGATGCTGAATTGTTTGACCAGATCTTGCGGGAGTTCAGCTTGCTTCCACGATACCGAAATCAGAGATATTTGGGATTCTGGACCGAGATCCTTACTGATCTTCTGGTTGTATCATTGCCTCCCTCTTTTGCAGGAACCTTGTCCTCAAGGTTCAATGAGCCAAATTTATCTGTTAGTTCTTTGCTATTTTCCCAGGTAGCTTATTCTGGGGGTAAATTCTTCCATTGGACCAGGTTTTCTTCAATAATTTTTTCTCCCTTCTTGATCCATCGGGTTTCTAAAATGGTTTGGGGTTGCAACAGTAGGTCCCCATCTTCAGATATTTCAAACAGATGTTCGGTCGGGGTAACTGCTTCACAATTTATTTTTTTAACATGGAGATGTGAAAAAAGGGATGGATACGTGACCCTTGTGGCAGCAAAAGCTTGTAAGCAACTGGTCCAATTCGACGGAGGATCTAATAAGGTCCGTAGTATCAACAAGCGAGTTTCTGAAAGGCTCTCTTGAAGACCATTTGCTGTCGATATGGTCGGAGCCTGAGAAAGACCCAATCACCCTCATGAAATTCGATTTCTCGTCAATGGGCATTGGCGGTAGCTTGCATGCGACTGTTGGCTGCTTGTAAATTGGTTTGAAATTGTTTAAGGAGGGCATCTCGATTACAAAGTTGTTGGTCAACTTCATTGATAAGGATGGAGCCGTCGTGGTAACGAGGAATGGGTGGCGGTGGCCTCCCATATAGGGCCTGGAAGGGTATCATTTTGATAGAGGAGTGGTAGGTTATGTTGTACCAAAATTCGGCCCAAGGAAGGAGGGAACTCCACTTGCGTGTTGTTGGCAATGTAAGCACCATAGATATTGTTCCAAACTGCAGTTCACGACCTCTAACTGTCCATCTGTTTGCGGGTGATAGGAGGAACTCATCCAGAGCTGAGGGCCTGACAGCTTAAAAAACTCTTGATAGAAGCGGCTAGTAAAGACCGGATCTCTGTCACTAATTATGGAAGGAGGCATACTATGTAGTTTAACCATATTGCCCATAAATTTTTCTACCACGGTTTTAGCAGTGTAGGGATGAGCTAAAGCAATGAAGTGCGCACTCTTACTGAAACGATCAACCACAACTGAGATAGTATTCTTTCCGTTTGAGAGAGGTAGTCCTTCAATGAAATCCATGAAAATATCATTCCATATCTGACACGGGTTGGAAATGGTTGGAGGAGACCGACTGGTGACAGTGTCTCGATTTTGACACGTTGGCAGGTGTCGTTTGCCGCTATATATTCTTTAAGGTCTCGGTGCATGGCATACCAATAAAATTGTTGGGCCAATTTTTTATAAGTTCGTTGGAAACCTGAGTGGCCACCGACCAAAAATAAGTGGAATTTCTGCAGTAATTGTTGTCTGATTTCTGATTTATGAGGAACAACAATTTGATTCTTAAAATAAATCAACTCGTTCTTGAGTGAAAAGGAACCACCTACTGAGTCAGTGGCTAACTTGCAGGCTGTTTACATGTAGGGATGATCCACAGTTCCCCGGATGGTGTCCCATAATTTATTTTTAGGCATAGAGATAGCTGCCCATCAAATACAGACTCCATAATTTTATGGCAATAATAATGGCAAGCATCTCTTTGGCGTATGTTGACCATGACTGCTTGACAGCGCCTAATGCTCGACTCATGTAAGCTATAAGTTGCCCATACTGGGTGAGGACGACCCCGATGCTGCAACTAGAAGCATCAGTTTCTATGATAAATGGCTCTTCAAAGTTCGGGAGTGCCAAGGTAGGAGTAGTGGTCATGGCAACTTTAAGGTTTTGGAAAGCTTATTCTACTTCTTCGGACCACCCAAACTGCCCCTTTTTCAGGAGATTAGTCAAAGGCCGAGCAAGGATTCCATACTACCGAACAAACTTCCGGTAATAGCCAGTCAGACCAAAAAATTCCCTTAATTCCATGACGTTATTTGGTCGAGGCCAATCTAAGATGACCTTAATTTTGGTTTGATCCACTTTGACCCCTTGTGAGGTGATTATGTGCCCCAAATACTCAAGTTCTTGTTGTCTAAAGGCAAACTTTTTTAGCTTAATGAAAAACTAATGTTGCCAGATGATGTCAAAAACCTACTTAACCTGCTTAAAATGCAGTTCCTAGCTGGGACTATAGATCAAGATATCATAAAAAAAACTAGAACAAACTTACGAATGTGTTCGCAGAAGATGTTGTTCATGATGGCTTGAAAGGTGGAAAGGGCATTGAAGAGTCCAAATGGCATGACGAGGTATTCATAATGATCATTATAAGTGCGTAAAATCGTCTTGTGAATATCTGTTGGGTGTACCCTAATCTGGTGATAGCCCGCGGTGAGGTCGAGCTTGGTAAAGAAAGCAGCTCCATGGAGTTCATCCAACATGTCATCAACGGTAGGGA